TATATGTCTCTGTGTGGGTGTGTTGTTATTCTAACACAGAAGAGTTGTATTCAGAAAAACACAATGGGAAAGAAGCTCTTTCTCACTGCAAAAAGAATCTACTCCTGAGGAATCCTCTAGAATGGGCAGAATGGAGCATTTTATTTATTTTATTTATTTATACATTCAATTTATTCTCCACCCATTTCCCCCAATGGGGAACTCTGGGCAGCTCACAAAGTATATAATCCTAACGGTGACTAACAATTCTTACAATTACAAATCTACAGTGATATATATATTACACTATGTGACCAGCAGTGGTCGCTAGGGGGTCATCCGGGCTTTTCCTCCTCCATAGATCTTTCTCGCTGCTCACATCGATCGTCGCTCGTGCCGGTTGCATTCGGAGTTCGGTCCAGCACCAGTATTTTGCTCCCACGCGCAGTACCACCGATTCCTCCCATGTAGATGGGAGTCCCCATTTATCTACTCGCAGATGGAATTCCTTTCGAACTGCTGGGTGAGCAGAAGCTGGGACAAGTGACGGGAGCTCACCCCGTCCCGCGGAGCTAGGCCCAAACCGTTGGAGTGCCGACCATTTCTGACCGGCAAACTCCGGCGTCATTAAGCCCTGCGCCACAGTTAGGGAATGGTCCAAAATCAAGTGAAAGCATCATGCATAACTTCTTCTTTGCTTACACATAGTGTATCCACTGATTTTGATCAATCTTTTCCTACCGGATATGACCACCTTTCCAGAAAACCCTCTGAGCCTTAGCAGCAGCTTTTGGGAAGCTGAAGTGCTGCTGTGGGAGGAAGTAAAGAAAAGTTCCCTTTCAAAAGCTTCCATTTCTGAATCTCAGGATCCAATGACTGATTTTCATGCTGCATGCTGATTTTATCCATGCTTTCCCAGTAAGTGATCTATGGGCCTTTCCCCATGGCTCAGTTAGTTGTATTTATCTATACTTGAGCCTGATATAAAATTTCCAGTCCCCACTGCTATCTGGCCTCTATAGCTTCTGGTCTAGTTTGCCATCAGATGTTGGTGTCCTGATTTTAGGTGTGCAGATTGCCTTAAACAAAGCTATTCGTTTAACCTTCTGGCTGCTGCCTCCCCTTTTTGAAAGTAACCAGGAAAGAAGGGAGGGAGGGAGGGAGGGTCAGTGTCCAAAAATCCTTGAATAAACATGCACAAAAATTGGCAATGCATTATTTGCATTCACCCATTCATGAATATTTTTGTTTTCATATCTAGATTAAGACAAATAACTTCTTCAGTTCTATATAATATTACACTTACCAGGAGATTTTGGCTTTCCTTTGGCTGACCCCTTAGGACTTCGTTTAGCTTTTGGTGATTCTTTACCTTTACCTTTACTTTTACCTTTACCTTTCTTTGCTGAACCACCATCACCAGGTGAAGAACGTGGTTCAATAGATGCTGGACTTTCAGCCATCTTTTAGATGCTTCTGAAAAGTGGACAACAGAAAAGTCAGATAATGAGATAGAACTCAAATGACACCTTTCATTGTCTATATTTATAACTAAGCCAATTGATTATGATTATTAATTCTTACATAATGTTGGAGCCCCCTTCATGGATCACTGCCTTGTTGTGGTGAAGGGGCTTGTGTAACTCAGTGAAGCCATGAGCTGTATACCGTGCAGGGGCACCCAAGATGGACAGGTCATGACAGAGAGTTCTGACAAAATGTGGTCCACTG